CTCTTGACCTCGTGATCCACCCGCCTCGGCCTCCCAAAGTGCTGGGATTACAGGCGTGAGCCACCGCACCCGGCCAAAGCTGAGATCTTTTCTAGACAGGTTTATCTCAGGCTACCCAGATCTCTCCGGAGGCAAGTAATGTTACCACTTTTGTATTTATCCTGCAAGAATTGAGGTTTCTGCAAACCCATAATCTGGAAGTTGAACTCTGATCCTCCTTTTGTACCAGTAGTACATCCTGCGTGTATTCTTTGCTCCTTTTTTTCACTGAGCTTTGCATCTTACAGGCTTTGCCATATCACACAGTAAGTGAATTGGTTGGAAGCTGATAGACATTTACACCATTTCCAAAATAAAAGGTGTGGGGGCAATGAATAACCTGGTTTTCATTTCTCATGTACACCAGCAGATCACAGAAGGAGAATATATAAAGGCCCACTCGGTTGGGCACGGTGTCTCACGCCTGTAATCCCTGCACTTTGGGAGGCCAAGGTAGACAGATTACCTGAGGTCAGGAGTTCAAGACCAGCCTGGCCGATGTAGTGAAAACCCATCTCTACTAAAAATACAAAAATTAGCCAGGTGTGGTGGTGCGTGCCTGTAATCCCAGCTACTCAGGAGACTGAGGCAGGAGAATTGCTTGAACCCGGGAGGAGGTTGTAGGGAGCCAATATCTTGCCATTGCACTCCGGCCTGGGTGACAAGAGCACAACTCTGTCTCAAAGAAAAATGACCAACTCGATAATAAGCCATGCCCAACAAGGTGAAACCTATTCCACACCCTCTGAAACCATCCTTCAGAGGTAACCCGTAAACAATTTGGGAGCCAGCCTGGTGGTACACACCTGTGGTACCAGCTACTTGGGAGGCTGAGGAAGGAGGATTGCTTGAGCCCAGGAATTGAAGGCTGTGGTGATCTATGATCCCACCTATGAATTGCCATTGCACTCCAGCCTGGACAACAGAGCAAGACCCCATCTTTCTCTTTTTTTGTTTTTTTAGAGACGGAGTCTCACTCCATTGCCCAGGCTGGAGTGCAACGGCAGGATCATAGCTCTTCACAGCCTCATATAGCTGGGATCAAAGCATCCTCCCACGTCAGCCTCCCAAGTAGCTGGGACTATAGGCACTCATCACCACGCCTGGCTAGTTTAAAATTTTTTTTGGTAGAGATGGGATCTCATTACATTGCCCAGGTTGGTCTCAAATTCCTGGCCTCTAGCGACCATTCTGCCTTGGCCCATCTCTTTAAAACACACACACGGACCAGGCATGGTCACTCATGCCTGTAATCCCAGCAGTGTAGGAGGCAGAGGTAGGTGGATCACGAGGTCAAGAGATTGAGACTATCCTGACCAACATGCTGAAACCCCATCTCCAGTAAAAAAAAAAAAAAAATACAAAAATTATCCGGGCATGGCGGCGCACACAGTGCACGCCTGTCATCCTAGCTACTTGGGAAGCTGAGGCAGGAGAATCACTTGAACCCGGGAGGCAGAGGCTGCAGTGAGCCAAGATCGCATCACTGCACTCCAGCCTGGGCAACGAGAGCAAAGCCCTGTCTCAAAACATACACACACACACACACACACACACACACACACACAGAGAGAGAAAGAGAGAGAGAGAGAGAGAGAGATATCAAGAGTTTGGAGTGTTTTTCCAGAATATTTGGAAAGAACAACACGTAAGAGCCAAGATTTAGACAACAGACTTTTCTATGCAAGGCTTTTTTTCTCAGCAGAATGCAGCTCATGGGGCCTAATTTGGCCTACCACCTGTTTTTGTACAGCCCATGAGATAAGAATGGTTTTTACATTTATAAATGGTTGAAAAAAAAATCAAAAGAATATTTTGTAACACATGAAAAATATATGCGATTCACATTTCAGTGTCCAGAAATGGTTTCATTGGCTCACAGCCATGTCCATTCATCTGTGAATTGTCTGTGGCTTCTTTGGCAGGGCAGTGACAGAATTAAGTCATTGAAATACAGATCAGTGGCTAGGCGTGGTGGCTAACGTCTATAATCTCAGGACTTTGGGAGGCTGAGGCAGGTGGATCACAAGGTCAGGAGCTCAAGATCAGCTAGCCAACATGATGAAACTCCATCTCTACTAAAAATATAAAAATTAGCCAGGCACAGTGGCACATGCCTGTAATCCCAACTACTCAGGAAGCTGAGGCATGAGAATCGCTTGAGCCGGGGAGGTGGAGGTTGCAGTGAGCCGAGATTGCGCCACTGCACTCCAGGCTGGGCGACAGAGCAAGACTCTCTAAAAAAAAAATAGAAAGAAAGAAAAGAAATGCAGACAAAAGAACCTGCAAAACCCAAAATATTAGTGGTCTGACCCTTTTCAGAAAAAGGTGCTGGCCTCTTGTCTAAGTCTGTGACTCAATGACTCATATAATCTTCAAAACGAAGTAGCAAAATAAGTATGTTTACTCTCATTTTCCATCTAAAGGAAAAGCAAGGAAGTTTAGGTAATATTTGGAATGAGGCTAGCCTTGAGTCCTATTTCATGCTGTTAATCCCATCATCTGGCAACTTTGAATAACTTTTTTTTCCTTCTTTTCTTTTTTTTGTTGAGACAGGATCTCACTCTGTCACCCAGGCTGGACTGCAGTGGCACTGTCAAAGCTCAACATAGACTTAACCTCCCAGATTCAGGTGATCCTCCCACCTCAGCCTTCTGAGTAGCTTGGACTAGAGGAGCCCGCTACCACGCCCAACTAATTTTTGTATTTTTTGGAGAGACAGGGTTTCGCCATGTTGCCCATGCTGGTCTCAAACTCCTGGGCTCAAGCGATCTGCCTGCCTCAACCTCCTAAAGTTCTAAAATTACAGGCATGAGCCACCATGCCTAGACTTGAATAACTTTCTAAACACAAGACTGCATATACGGTGAGCCACTTAACAGTATAGCTTATAAGAAGGCTGACAGGAGAATCACTTGAGGCCAGGAGTTTGAGACCAGCCTGGGCAACATAGCAAGACCCCATCTTTAAAAAAAAAAAAAAAAGGCTGGGCACAGTGGCTCCTGCCTGTAATCTGAGCACTTTGGGAGGCCGAGGTGGGCGTATCACAAGGTCAGGAGTTCCAGATCAGCCTGACCAACATGGTGAAACCCCATCTCTACTAAAAATGCAAGAATTAGCCAGGCGTGGTGGCACGTGCACCTGTAATCCTGACTACTCAGAAGACAGAGGCAGGAGAATTGCTTGAACAGAACACGGGAGGCAGAGGTTGCAGTGAGCTGAAATTGTACCACTACACTCCAGCCTGGGTGACAGAGCAAGACCTCCGTCCAAAAAAAGAAAAGAGAGAGAGAGAGAGAAAGTTATGGTGACACATGCCTATAGTCCCAGCTGGGTGACGAAGTGAGACCCTGTCTCTAAAATAAGTAATGAATGTATCAATTAATAAACAATACTGCAGTGAACATCTTGCACATACATCTTCCATAATGGGCTCTCAGGGCTCTGCTGGCTAAAGTGGGGAGGCTGGGGCAGGCGGCTTCTCTGTCTCCTAGAAAGAATGAACAGCAGCCCCATCTCACCATGGTTCACTCTCCCCTTACCCAGGCTGCCCGTACTGGAGACAGCATTTCCTGCTGGTGAACCTCACCCCAACCCGCTGGACTCCATCATGAGCAACCGCTTCCCCCGCTGGTTCATCCTTGGCCACCTGGAGACCCGCCAGTGTGAACTGGCTTCCACCATGTTGACAGCCGCCAAGGGTGAGGCTGGCAGCTGTACCAATCCCTTTGTCTTCCTCCTCCATCATTTCCTTCCTTCCCTCTTAACTTTCCTACCTCCTCTTATCCTTTCACGAAATTCCACCCGAATTTCTTGAGTACTTCCTATATGTACCGGGCACTGTCTCAGGTGCGGGGGATGTGGCAGGTGACAAAACTGGCCCAGATCCCCTGCCCTGTGGAATTACATTCTGGTGGGAGATGAGAGCAGTGCAGTGGCTGGGCACGGTGGCTCATGCCTGTAATCCCAGTACTTTGAAAGGCCAAGGTGGGGAGATCACAAGGTCAGGAGTTCAAGACCAGCTTGACCAACATGGTGAAACCCTATCTCTGCTAAAAATGCAAAAATTAGCCAAGCACAGTGGTGCATGCCTGTAATCCCAGCACTTTTGGAGGCCAAGGTGGGCAGATCACTTGAGGTCAGGAGTTCAAGACCAGCCTAGCCAGCATGGTGAAACCCTGTCTCTACTAAAAATACAAAAATTAGCCGGGCGTGGTAGTGGGTACCTATAATCCCAGCTACTTGGGAGGCTGAGGCAGGAGAATTGCTTGAGCCCGGGAAGCAGTGGTTGTAGTGAGCCAAGACCAAGCCATTGTACTCCAGCCTGGGCAACAAAAACAAAACTGTATTAATAATAATAATAATGATGATGATAGAGGCTAACATTTGAGCAGATCCTTGCCATGTTAAGTCCTTGCCAAGTATGGGCCCACCACCCTGTGAGGTGGGTTCCATTGCCTGAGTGTTACCCATTTTACAGATGGGGCAGCCAGGGCACAGAGAGGTAAAGTGACTTGCTTAGGGTCACCCAGGACAAGGATTTGAACCCTGGCATTCTGGGTGTGCAGCCTATGCCCTTGAGATGAGGAGGGAGGTCCACAGGATCCCTAGGTGGTTTTTTCTTTGTTTCTTTGTTTTTTTGAGACGGATATTGCTCTGTTGCCCAGGCTGGGGTGCAGTGCTACAATCTCAGCTCATTGCAACCTCCGCCTCCCGGGTTCAAGCGATTCTCGTGCCTCGGCCTCCCAAGTAGCTGGAATTACAGGCACCTGCCACCACACCCAGCTAATTTTTGTATTTTTAGTAGAGGCAGGGTTTTGCTATGTTGGCCAGGCTGGTCTGGAACTCCTGACCTGTGATCTGCCCACCTCGACCTCCCAAAGTGCTGGGATTACAGGTGTGAGCCACTGTGCCCAGCCCCTTGTAACAGGAAAGGGGCACAGAGGAGATAAGTGGCAGGGACAGGGGGCACTGAGGTCTGAATCTTCACAGAGCCTTTGCCCGGTGCACATCCCTCCACACTCACACATGTGCCCCTGGGTGGAAGGACCTGTGTGAACAGGTCAGTAGTGGTCAGAGGCTGGTGCTGGGGTGTATCTGACGGTGTCCTCTGTCCCTCCCTTCTCCCAGGAGACCCCAAGTGGCTGCACGCGGTACTGGGCTCTATCCAACAGAACATTCATTCTCCTGCCCTGCTCTTCAAGCTGGCACAGGACGCCTGCAAGACAGCCACCCCGGTGAGCGCCCCACCGGACACCACGCTGCTGGGTATCGCGCTGGAGCTGGGCCTGCAGGTGAGGGCCGCCAGCTTGGAGCCAGGCCTGACAGGTGTGAGCTGTGCCTCCGGGAGCACGGGCTGAGTGTGCCCTACTTCCCTGGGGGCGGGGCATTTGCATGAGCTGTTCCTTTGTGGCTGGGGCCTGAGTGAGAGCCACTTCCTTTGGGGCGGGGACTGTGAGTGAGCCACACCTCCGAGGGCGTGGCCTGAGTTGGGCCACTTCCTTGGGGGCGTGGCATGAATGAGCCACTCCCCTGGGAATGGGGACTAAGTGAATCGTGCCTCTCAGGATGGGGTCTGCATGTGAGCCACACCTCTGCGGGTAGGGCCTGAGTGTGAACCTCACCTTTGGGGTCGGGGCCACAGAAGGGCGAGGTCTGTGAGAGTGAGGGAATGGGGTCTCCAAGAGGGTTGAAGCCTATGAGTTATTAATAGAATTTGCCTATGGAAGGTACTGAGGTTTAGGAGAGAGTTGTCCCTGGAGTGGAAATGTAAGGCCTGCAAGCTAGCAGATGGATCACAAGCAGAATCTGGGGGTGGGGCCTGGGAGTGATGTGCTATTGGTTAAGAATCATGGGAGGATAGGTTTGAAGTCGAGGGTGGGGCAGAGCCGACCAATAAGGAGGTTCCTTGGGGGCGGGGCCTGAAGAGGACTGCCCTCTAAGGAGAGGGATTCACTACTGTGAGGCCAGGTTTGGGGAAGGTCTGGAAGATGAGACGCCAACTCTAGGGGTGGGGTGGTCGCTCACACCAGTACTTCAGGAGGCAGAGGCGGGCGGATCACGAGGTAAGGAGTTCAAGACTGACCTGGCTGACATGATTAAACCCCCATCTCTACTAAAAATACAAAAATCAGCCAGGCATGGTGGCCTGTGCCTGTAATCCCAGCTACTCGGGAGACTGAGGCAGGAGAATCACTTGAATCTGGGAGGCAGAGGTTGCAGTGAGCCGAGATCAGGCCACTGGACTCCAGCCTGGGTGACAGAGCGAGACTCTGTCTCAAAAAAAAAAAAAAAAAAAAAAAAAAAAAAGTCCTGTATGCAGAGCCTGCAATGGAATGTCTGGGTCATCCCCAAGGGCCGAACAAAGGGTGGTCCTGCAGGGGCAAGTCTTGAGTGCTGCCTGCTGGAAAGGAGTCATCCGTAGGGTGTGGGCCCCATGGGACCTGTAGGAGGGCAGGGTCTGCGGGGATAGACAGGTAAGGGACCTGTGGGGGCAGGGCCTCAGAGGGTGGCAGAAGTTCACTAAGAAGATAAGGAATAGGGTCGGGCACAGTGGCTCATACCTGAAATCCCAGCACTTTGGGAAGCTGCGGTGGGAAAATTGCTCGGGGCCAGGAGTTTGAGATTGATCTGGACAACATAGTGAGACAAAAGTCCCGTCTCCACAAAAAAAACTTTAAAAATTAGCCAGCTGTGGTGGTGCACCCCTGGTCCCAGCTCCTCAGGAGGCTGAGGCGGGAGGATCGCTTGAGGCCAGTTTGAGGCTGCAGCAGCGAGCTATGATCATGCCACTGCATACCAGGTAACATAGCAAAAAGACCCTAACTCTAAAATAAAAAACAGGAAAGATAAAAGAAAAAAACTGGGTCCAGGCGCTGTGGCTCACACCTGTAATCCCAGCACTTTGGGAGGCTGAGGCGGATTGCTTGAGGCCAGGAGTTCAAGATCAGCCTGGCCAACACAGTGAAACCCCATCTCTACCAAAAAATTAGCTGGGCATGGTGGCAGGCACCTGTAGTCCCAGCTACTTGGGAGGCTAAGGCAAGAGAATCACATGAAGCCAGGAGGCAGAGGTTACAGTGAGCCAAGAGAGCACAGCTGCACTCCAGCCCAGTCGACATAGTGAGACCCTATCTTAAAAATTTTTTTTTTTAAAAGTTTAAAAAATTGGGGACTTTCCCAGGTAGAACAAGCAAGGTCCCACAGGTGCAGAATGGGCCCTGGACAGCCTCCTGTGGTGAGTGGAGCCATTGTGGCATGGGGGCAAGACAAGGAGTTTTCAGAGAAGACCCATGAGGTAGGAGCTTACAGGTGGGCACCTGTAATCCCAACTACTCGGGAGGCTGAGGCAGGAGAATTACTTGAACCCAGGAGGCGGAGGTTGTAGTGAGCCGAGATCGTGCCACTGCATGCCAATCTCGATCTCAAAAAGCAAACAAACACCAGGAGTGGTGGCTCACGCCTGTAATCCAAGCACTTTGGAGGCCAAGGTGGGTGGATCACCTGAGGTTGGGAGTTCAAGACCAGCCTGACCAACATGGTGA